ATCTCGGCGGCGTCGAGAGCGACTGTGTCCGAGACTCGTGCCATGATGTACAGTTGTCAAGGAAGGTTCTGTCGTTAGACTTGATTTATTCAGGAGAAGTGTTTGGTACGGCAGAGTATGTTCCAAGAGAAAAGGAATTGTCAAACTTATAAGTCTTTGTGAATGCCTCGACGAGTGTCCCCAAAGCTGCATTCGGACAACCCGCCCCCAAATACCGACACGCCAATGTCACACCAAGAGACAGAAGGACACAAAGGCTCTGCGCTCAACGATCGACCACCCGGATCGACAAGGTCCTGGAGGAAATGGACAGAGACATATCGGTCAATTCTCCTTTTCGAGCCAAGCAGCGTTGATGAGGACCACGCGGCTCAGAAGGCTCAGAAGGCTCAGAATGCCGTTGGAGGAAGACATGGTGTTGGGCGGCGCTATGCCCTACCTCAGAAGAGACTCAGCGATATCCCAACGATTGCACTCGCTCTTTTGAAACTCGAAAGTTCAATTAAAGGGCTATTGTCTTCGTGAACTAAACCTCGCGAGGTTAACGGTGCTTAGAACGATGATCTCGATGTATTTCGGGCCAAAATGATGCGCAGAGTTGATGGTTGTAGTACTTTCAGCTTCGACCCTTTGATCTCGTCTGGTCATGGCTGTGGAAGCAACATAAAGATGAAGAGGCTGAAGATCTACACTAGGGGGACGGCCTGAAAGATCTGCTGGAGAAATATTGGTGGAGTCTCGCACACTATTCCCGATACGGTTAGTTTTGCGATTTATATTTCAGCTTTGCCAAGTTCAAGAAACGCAGCCTCGTAAAATACAGACTCTGTCCCCTTTTGTTTCAATGACTCGGAAACGCCATGCTCGTATCGCTGGGGGCTATGTCATCGTGTCTACCCTGGAGATGGGTCAGTAGACGGGACCAGTACCAATGATATCCCCATCGTTGCTTGTTCCCCAGATTGAGTCCGCACGTTTTCCCCTTTCCATGCCGTGCGCCGGTAACGTCCTTTACACACCTTCACAGATCTACTCAGCTAACCCAGCAATGCTCGATGTCTAAAATTAAAGGTAATAGTGATTTTCCCAAGGCCACTTCGAAACGACAGGGAATTGGCAGCTGTTGCATCAAGCTACGTCACAAGCCCAACATTGCTCGGTGGTTTTCTTGGGACTTTTGCTCAACGGCAATGAGGATGCAATCTCACGAAATAGTATATAAAGGTCGTCTAGATCACTCATAAATCTGGTATCTGTACATTGATCAGAGACAAAAAGCATCTACGACACTCATTGGAGCTATTTCATCATGTTTGTTTCCTTCGCTCTCCTGGCATTGACAGCGGCACAGACTGCCTTTGGGCAAACCGGCGTCAACTGCACTCATCCAACTGCGTTCTACGATCAGAAGATCGACCATAATTCCACAAAGAGCGGGACCTTTAGACAACAATATCAACTTATCATGGACCACTACAAACCAGGAGGTCCGATCCTGTTCCTCCAAGGAGCCGAGACCGCCAATCTCTCGTGCTTGGTAGGTTTTTGTCGATGTTGCCTGACCTGTGTCTGACTATGCATAGGAAGAGATGGTCTTTGAAGACTGGGCGCCAACCTTGGGTGCTGCCGTGGTGCAACTCGAACACCGTTTCTTCGGCGTCAGCAATCCCAGCACCGTCGTCAACGTTACCCAGCGCTTTGCCACACTCACCTTGGAGAACGTTCTGGGAGACTCTGTCGCTTTTGTCCAATACTTGAAGAAAAGCAACACCAAATTGAGAGATGCCAAGGTCATTGCACATGGCGGTACGTTGGTCATTCGGAACAAATGCAGGAGACGGGGAATTGATTCACGTTGCAGGCTCCTATGGGGGTTGGCTATCTGCCATGCTCCGACTTAACCATCCAGAGACTTTCTATGGCTCAATTGCCTGGGCAGGACCAACGGAGAGCCTTGGGCCGAATTCTTCAAATCCTGCGCGTGGGAATTGGTACACCTTTGTAAGCATACCTGATCTCTAGCATGACAAGACCATTGACGGGAGCTGCAGCTGTCGAACATCTACTCGAGCTATTCGGCCGAAGTTGCTGCTAAGATAAAAGCTGCGCTGGCAACTTATCATGGCTACATCAAGACCGGTCAGTACGGTTAGACACCTCAACCACGGAGAAGATACTGATTACCCTTTCAGGGACAAACTATGAGGACCTCGCCCACGGGCTCAACCTCTGCGAGGTCCCGAAGAACACCAGCGATCTGGACCTGATCTACCAGTCACAGATCCTCAACGCGTACACGGCCAACGCGCAGTTCAGCTATGGGGTCCTACCGGGTCTCCCGGGCCTCATAGCCAACCCTCTCAACAAAGTCCTCAATCTGACGCTCGAGGCTCACGGTGCGCTCGAAGTTATCAATGCCAGTCTCTCGGTCCTTTTCAACGGCGCCTGCGTCGACTGGGCTGGACAAAACGCATTCAGCCTGGCCGGCGCCGAGCAACTCCCCTTCCAATACCTGGAGTGCCGCTACTTCCCCATCGCGGCGGACCTGATCCCCTCCGGCACAATCTTCCCCGTCGGCTCTCTCGGGTATAGCAGCGACCGCGGCAAATTCTGCTCCGAGACCTTCAACATGACCACCCCTACCCACCAGGAACTGTCGACGAAATATCACTTTACAACCAAGGATCTGCTCGCGGCGACACACCTGCTGTTCACCTTCGGCACCATTGATCCTGTCTCCGGCTGGGCCCCGTGGCAGCTGTACGGACGAATGACGGCCGACCGCAACGCGTCGAGTCTGATGGTCGTCCCGGAGGGAGGGCACACAGAGGATTCGTTCAATCCAGCGTTCCTGACCAAGCCGGGAGTTCTGCAGGCGCAGAAGTTCCAGCTTGAGTATATCAAGGAATGGTTGGGAGTCACCACTTACTAGAACGATTCTATCGGTCTTCGTCTTATTCGGACGGTCTTGACAACAGGTAAATGTTACTGTTGGAGGTAGAGATGGGATGGGTTTCCTTTTCGTCGTTGATCAAGTTCTTGTTGAATGTTACCACATAGCCAATTGAGCTGCATTTCTTATATGCTAGTTGAAAAGAACCATGTCTTTACACCTTTGGTGGAAATCAAGTCTCTTGTGGAACAGACGATTCGCGGTGTAGCTGATGACGATGAAGCTACCGTCCTACATTTTCGCCGTTGTGCAATTTTCATGAGACGTGTCGCTTGTTGAGAAGTCACACTTGACCTTCTCGTTGCTACCGCTAGCCGCTTACAAGCCACCAGGATCGCCTTCCTAGTCTGGCATAACGGCCCGTTAAAGCTTGATAGAGCGAAGCTTTCCCTCGTCTGAACGCCACGCGACTTTGCTAGCGCTGGGAATTCATGGATGTTAACCACAAAAAGAAATTGGAAGAGCGCCTCTTCAAAAAGTCCCTCCTCAACGCTTTCCGAATCGGTACTTTCTGGCGCCCACGGGGTGTTAGACCTAACCTGTTCATCAAGCGAAAGCGAATCCTTCAGCCATACCCACCCCTATTTCCCCACCTGTCGAAGCTTTTCTCCATCACTATTTCCTTGCCTCTTCTACTCAACCATGTGAATACTCCTTCTAGTCTTACATTGCTGCTCGACCTGCTCAAGGCTGTTCTTTCATTCTGGTGACGCTTGTCGCCGTCCATTCTTTTATTGATTTCTATCTCAGTTACGGGATGAGGTCAACGTTATGGGCCCTCGCTACCGCAGCTGCTGTCACCGTCTGCCATGGCCAGAAACACGACAAGTGGGACAGCTCAGACGTTGTAGTCACCACTATCGTTACAAACACACATATCGTGTGCCCTTGCAGCTCTGAACATTTGGTTGCATCGTCAGTCTCGTCCCCGGCTCAGTATTCCTGGACCCACAATGGCCACACACGGCATACTTCTCGCGGTGACACGTCGACGGCACAAGATTCAGACATCCCTCATCGGCAAAGCTGGGGCAAGACAGAAGGACAGAGCATTACTGCATCTCCGTGGACTCTCTCCCAGTTGAAGAGTTCCCAGACAAGCACATCTGCACATACCACAACAACACGCACAGAACATGAACCAGGAAGGCCGCCCACGTCTAAAAGCTCTCCGGTTGCAGTCCTCTCGACCACCTCTATTTACCTATCGCACACTTCTTCAGCCACTAGAAGTCACGGAACAACATACTCAAAATCTACTGACACAAGTATATCTATATCTACTAGTTCTTGGAGAGCATTGACGAGCATCCTCGGATCTTCAACGACACTGACAGGCTCCACAAACTCGCCGACGACCACCAGTACTAGAGCATCCACTTCCACCAGTTCGACTTCGTCCCTGGCTACAGCTAGCACCACTACATCAGCCGTGACAACAACGACAGCGACTATTAATACATCTACTACCTCTACCTCTACGACAACTCCTACTACTACGATCACGGAGACCACAGCGGTAGGCCACAATGTGTCAACTGTCCTTTGATGTCTCTATAACTGCAAGCTAAGACTCGTGCTAGATAACGTCCACCACCACAACTACAACAGTATGTATTGTACCTATTCGCTCCTTTTCGAAGTCGAGAAGCTAATTCAACACCACCAGACCACTACCACAACCACAAGCAGTTCTTCCGCATGTCCTACAAGTGCCTGTCCATCCTCGAGAACGGCGGTACGTCCTCAGCGGTTTTCGAGCGCTTGTCCTGCACCGTACAATCTCTGGGTTACTGACCATTCATCCTCACAGGACGTCATAACTGACGGTAGCTTTGAAGACGTCTCCTCCGACTCGATTGGAGTACTGGGAACTACCAGCGGCGACTGGACAGTATCTGGGAACGCATTTTTCGACCAGAACAGCGGAACGGCTTCTGACACGCCTTTCGGGACGAAATTTGTGTATGTATCCCTTCTTCGACACCCTTCCCTTCCCTCTCCACGATAGGACAGATTGTATTCTCGAGATGCGCAACTACTAACCATGCCACTGCGTAGCTACTTCCGCGGCACTTCGACCGTGCCCATCTCCAGCGTCTCTCAGAACCTGACGGACCTCATCCCCAACACCTTCTACACCCTCACCTACGACTACGCCGTTCCCTTCGTGGACAACCCCAACAGCGGCCCCACCTTTTCCACCTGCAGCCTCACCCTCCAGGTCGGCGACAGCGTCAATCGGGATCTTGTCGATGTCTTTGGCAACGCGGCGCAGACGGCCTGGGCGGAGGCGGTACCCCTGGACTTTGTGGCCGACTGTTCGGAGCTGGTGTTTTCGCTGATCTGGGATTGTTCGCAGGTGTTGCCGGGGAACGAAATTGATTTTGTCATTGATAACGTGGCCTTCACAGGCGGTCAGTGTGTGGCGGAGCCGGCTTGATTTGAGTGAGCGAGGTCCCGACGATCTGTGTATACGTGGGGTGTGGATGTCGGGTAGTTAGCTAGCATATGCTCATGGGAGGAGTGAGGGCGAGGAGTCGGTGTGTATTCCCAACCCCAGCAGAACTAGCCTGTAGCGCTTACTGGGAAAGAGTCACTTGTTCAAATGTGGGGATCAGATGCAGGAACAGGCAACTTGGCAGTTCGCATCACAAACAACACTTTGAATCGCTATTCCTCGTTGATTCTTGACCTTACCTGCTTCTTTGCCTCTGTGTCTCTGTGAGTTTGACCAATCGGAGAAGAGTTGATTCGCACACATATTCTGAGGGTTCTGTCGGACAACAGCGACTCCCTTCCCCCCAAGGACGCGATGGAGCTCGGTCGGCACCGAGCGTTCAAAAGTGGGTCAAACCATCAATTAAAGTATTTTCTTGTTTCCGTCGCTCGCTGACTTTAAATGATAATAATAATGATAACTACAACTTGTTCTCGATGCAGTGATCCACTCAGACCTGATAAAGCACAGAATCCATTACTCGAGCGGATACTACATACGAGAGAGTCCATCCTCGCTGCCATACCATTGACGTAGAGAACGAGCAAGCGTGGAGCGACAGCCATGCCTGCGGTGTCGGTAGCAAACGGCGCGGCTCCCGCTGCGGCGTCGTCAATCGATTTGCCGCTGTTCGACATCTCCCAAGAATCACCGGAGCTGGGGCGAGAGATTGTCCAGGCCGCTGCAAAGCACGGATTTCTGTGGATCGCAGGATCGCCACCGCCGACGTCACAGACCAACGACGGCGGTGAATACGACCTCGACGCCGCGACGGTGCAGAACGCCTTCGAGATCAGCAGCCGCTTCTTCAAGGGCGCCAGCGCGGCGGACAAGGCGGCCTGCAAGATCACAAAGAACCGCGGCTTCGTCGACATGCAGGTCGAGAATCTCGATCCGCAGAGCCACGCGCGCGGCGACTTCAAGCAGTGCTTCAACCTGGCGGAGCCGGACCCGGCGAACGGCGCGTGGCGACAACCCCTTCCCTCGCAATTCTCAGAGGTCCGTGCGGAGGCTGCGCTGCGCGATTTCCACGCCCGCTGTCGCGCCATGGCGACCCGGATCCTGCGCCTGATCGCGCTGGGGCTGGGTATCGATGACGACCCGGACTGGTTCGTCCGGTCACACGAAAACTCACCATACACGGTGCGCATGCTCTATTACCCACAGCTGCCGCCCAACAGCGACTACCGCGCTGAAGCCGACATCCGCGCCGGCGCGCACAGCGACTACGGCAGCATCACCCTGCTATTCACGCGGCCGGGCCAACCTGGGCTGGAAATCCTGCGGGACGACGGCACCTGGGCCCGTGTCCCTGTCTCCCCGCCGGGTTACCACGACCGGGACTTCCCCCCCGTGGTCGTCAATATCGGCGACCTGCTCCAGTTCTGGACCAATGGACTCCTCAAGTCGACCGTGCACCGCGTCGTGCTCGTCGAACCCGAGCAAGAAGACGAGCACGTCGCCGCGACATCCTCCGCCCTCGGAACAGACAGGTACTCCATCGCCGTGTTTGTTCAGCCGGCCGACGACACCGTGCTGGTCCCCGTGCCGTCACTGGCGGTCTCGGAGCGCACAGCCGCGTTCCGAGATGCCCAGATCGGTCGTGGGGGCGGCTCGGCGACGGTGGCAACGTTGGGCCAGACGACGGCGGGGGAGCACTTGCTTGGGCGGCTGAGGGCGACGTATGGTGTTGCTGTGACGGGATAGGTATTCAAGGTTTGAGGAGACGGGAGTGGATCGATCGACCGATTGATGAGGAGTGAATTGGTTATTGGTGTTCTCTGGCTGAGATGGCTCTTGTTAGGTTTTGCAATATGTCCTGTGAATATGTCGACATCATTCATGGTCGTGGTATTCTCTAAACTTACACCAGAATATCTGTCAACAAGAGTGGTGACTGCTTCATACCCCTTGTGTCTGTCCTTGTGTCTGGTGGCAGAGATTCATTTCGAAAGCCTTTTATACACCATTGCACACATGGCCTAGGCACGAGGTACAGTGTGAGTTGACTCGCGTGAGAACCATAACCAAATGATGGTGGGTAATTCAAGATGTGATTAAACAGGGCATATCTTGTTCGGATCCTCGTCGCTCCTTCCGTCCCAGAGTATATCGACTTTTCATTAGAGACAGTGGCCACCATTCATTTGTCCACAGTGTCGGCAAGCATCGAGCTCCCTTGCTTCCTCGCCCCGGGCAATAGTGTCTACAATCTAGACCTAACGTGGTCGAAATTTGAAGTAGTTTGTCTCGAGATCTCAGCTAACGCTTTGTCATAATAGGTAGTTCCAGATTGACGAGGCACGAGGTTCTCCAACTCGTCAAAGCTGCCACAACAAGACCAGAAGGAGCGCAACACGTTCAAAAGACCTAATTTGGATTGGAAAGACCAACTTCAGGCACGCCTGTTGAAGCAGTAATATGATTGGCTCACTGGAGACCTACATTACTTCCCATCCTGCTCCTTGCATTTCAACCACGCCAACGTTGAGGTAGCATTGGCTAATGCACCGGATACCTTGGTGATCATGACATCCAATGAGAGTCTTGAGAGTGACTCCTACGGCCAGGCACCACGGGAACATGACTGTGAGGACAGCCATATAAAGGGACGAGCGGTAAGCTCATCATCACTCAGATGTCGGAGCTAAAAGGACAGCATTTTTGTACCCCTTCATCCTTTAGACTGATCTCTAGGTATTTCCGCCATGGTTTGTCTTGCGACATCCTTGCTGCTCAGCAGCGCCTTCACTGCTGTCTCGGCTTACATCCAGTATTCAACTGTCCCAGGCTACTTCCTGCAGGACGATAATTCGACCAACGCTACTACATTTGACTATGTAAGTGGTGAAAGGCAGACCCGATCCGATGGAAGCGGGGGGTTAAGAGAAAAGTTCTTCGTCTTCTGATGATACTTCCTGTCTAGACTGCGACCAACTTCGGCCTCATCAACCAGAGCTATCCCACCGATCCCTCTGATGCCGCTTCCTTGACCCAGTGGCAACGATTTGCCCTGGTCATTGCCAATCTGACCAAATCGGCTCCCGCCAACGTGCAATACAAGCTATTGTTCATGGGCCGCCACGGAGAAGGCTGGCACAATGCCGCCGAGTCCTTCTACGGCACTCCCGCGTGGAACTGCTACTGGTCTCTCCTCGACGGCAATGCGACAGCGACGTGGTCCGACGCTCACTTGACTGACAATGGAGTTTCTCAAGCCCTGGTCGCCAACAGGTTCTGGCGGTCTCGTATCCAGGAGCAGAAGATCCCAACTCCGCAAAAGTACTATGTATCTCCTTTGTACCGATGTCTCTCGACGGCAAATCTGACCTTCTCGGGCCTCCCACTACCACAAAACGAACCCTTCATCCCGACGATCAAAGCTCTGCTCCGGGAGTCCATCTCCGAACACACCTGCGACCGCCGCTCCAACAAGACATATATCCACTCCCAGTTCCCCACGTACAAGTTCGAACCTGGCTTCCCCGAGACCGACCAACTCTGGTCGGGCGTCACCGCCGAGACCAATTCGGCCCAAGACGCACGGTCAAAGACGTTGCTCGACAGCATCTTCTCGACGGACAAGTCGACTTACCTGTCGTTCACTTCCCACTCCGGAGAACTCGGCTCTATTCTGCGAGTTCTCGGACATCGGACCTTTTCTCTCAACACGGGCGCTGTGATCCCAGTGCTGGTCAAGGCCGAGACCATCGCTGGAGTCAGCACGATTTCTACCCAGGCTTGGACGCCCAGTCCACATTGCACGGTGCCACCTCTCACCAGCGTCAGCAGCGGCGCGAACGGAGGCTGTGTCTGTCCAAACAGTGCCGTGCCAGTAACTACGACGTTGCCTCCATTCGCGGTCAGCACTTGACTTGGCAGCCGAAGAAGGTGGGGGATTTGGCGCTAGACAGAGAGAACTGCTCAATTGAATCCAGAGAGTTAATATTGACCGTCGACTAAAAGTTAGACTGGGAATGGAACCTGCGCACAGCACACGGACGCCTGAGACAGAGAACTGAGTGTGGGTATAATCTTGTATAGTCTGTAATTAAGCGACCAGCAGTGATTTTATATCTGCACTCGGCGTCTCCCCTGAAATCAATTCACTCATGACCAACCCGGTCCCCAGACTCAGACTGATTCCCCACGGGCCGTGTCCAGACGCTATCCAGACACCGCCACTTCCAGAGGGCGGAAGACCGAGGTAGTGTTCAGGGATCTTGCCCAGGAGAGGGGTCCCCCTCTGACTGACGGGGCGGAAACACAGGCTTTGCCTGACCGTCTCGAGATCGTCGTCGTTGCCTTCCTCGGCCCCCTTCGCCACACGCCCCGTCAACTGCACGGTTGTCTTGCGCAGCGACCTGATGCTCTCCGGGTCGACGAGGGCTTTGACGTCGCTGGCCAGCTCCGGCAGCGGGAGGGCGCTGTCGTTCAGGCCGCCGACCCAGATCTCCGTGTCGCCGTTGCGGGCAAGCCGCGCGAACGCTTCGGGCGCGAACGACCAGTGCACGCCGGCGGTGCTGTAGATCGAGTAGCAGAGCCAGTTGTCGGTGCCGCCGCCGACCTTGCGCTTCGCGATGTCGACAAACGGCCTCTTATACCGCGGCGACTTGACCACCAGACTGTGTCCCGCGAGCGGCTCGATCGGGATTTGCAGCGTACTTTGGGGGAACAGCGTCTCGAAGACCCTGGGCGTCCACGCGCCCGCCGAGATGAGGACGTCTCGACACTCGAGGTCTCTGGTCTCGGTGTTTCCATCGGGGTTGGTGGACGCTAATACTAGGCCCCTGAGAGCGCCGTCGTCGTCGTCGGTGAGGATCCCCGTCGCGCACGTCGAGAGGTGGACCTGGACGCCGCGCTTCTGGCACTCGTCGAGCAGGAACTCGCACAGCTCGCGCGGCTCGATCTGCGCGCAGCTTTCCGGGCCCGAAATCGTCTCGAGCGTCCCGCTGGGCTGGGGGGTCCATACGGCAGGCGAGCCGTCCGGGTTGAGTGTCTCGTCCTCTCCCCTTCCCCCTCCCCCTGCATCATCGCCACCGCCTTTCTCCTGAGACCCTGCCACCACCGACGTCGATGCCTCCTCGACCCGACTTGTCCCGTCGCGCAACCAATCGCCCCTCCTGCCCTTCCTCGTCGCCGCCGCGCTGTCATCCACGCTCAAATTATACGTGTGGCTCCTCGCGTACCCCCACCTGCGCGGCCCATCATGCGTCTCGGCCAGCTCGCGGTGCAGACGGAACGAGAGCGCGCCCAGCGCCGCCACGGACGGACTGAACCAGTCGGCCGCGAGGAATCCGCCGGCAAAGCCACTCGCCGAGGCGAGCAGCGCGGGCGACGAGTCGACGATGTGGATTGTTCTCGTCGGCGACGAGGCCCGCGCCGCCAGCGAGAGGTAGTACGCGGTTGAGAGGCCGATGATGCCTCCGCCGAGAATTACCGTCGACATTCTTCTGGCTCTGGTCCTGCTCTTCCCAGTCTTATCACCCTAGGGGAGAATATCTCAAGGGAGGGAGAGAGAAAGGAGAAGTTGAGCCGGCGGGATTGACTTGATGTTATCACTCCTTGGCTTCCCTTGCGCCGCCGCTCGCCGTCGCTATGTGAAAGAAATCGACAGCGCTATCTACATGTCCACATGCGCCTTGGTAATCGCAGTTCTCCGCCTTCGACCTTTTGAGGTTGTTCGGGAATTTTCTCCCCCGCCTCTGGAATGGCAACTCCCTACGTAATTATTCAGCCCGAAACAAGTTATGTACATAATACTCGACTTCGTATACGAGAATAGGATCCAGCCTAATAGCAGATCGGATGTCTTTCTTCAGGAACAATCCTGATTTCAACAGACACTTCAAGCCGGCGTGTCTACAGGGGCCTTCGGGCTCTCCAGCGTTGACAGACCCATGTCATTCTGTTTCCTCGGCATCCCTTTCAGCAACTGCACCACAAATCCTTGCAGAGACTTACATTTCGGATCGGGACATCATGGCCATTGGTTACAAAACGCAGGCAATACTGGCTGGCTGGCTGGCTGGACTGGTGGGGGGTTAATCTAATTGGATTTGGTTCTAGTCCACCCCGCAAAGTCTCGGCTAACATTCCTTGATCCTTTACGAAGTCAAATAAATTCATTTGAGCAGTTCATCCGCACACCTACTCCGTCCTCGAGGCTGCGATGCCTCAAATGGCTCCGTCGACGGGCGCAGGTTCACCAGCGTCAAGAGCGAAACCAACGACTGCCGCGGCCGCATCCGATGCCGACATCGCCACCAACAAGGCCCTCCTCTTCCACGCCGAAGCCGCGCGACTGGCGAAATCATGGCTCCGCGGTACCGCCGTCGGTGACGGGCCAGACAAAGATGAAGATGAAGACAAAGCCGAGGAGGATCTCGAACAAGAGTTCTTGCGGAACAAAGACGTCTACTCCGAGACAGGGGGTGTAGGGTATCACCCTCCCACGGAATCTTCTCTGTCAAATGGGATCTCCTCCGACCAAAATACGACAACGGCGTTCTTGAGAAAGCAATTACTCCGCGGCCACCAGCGGGGACGAGCCACGAATGGAAGCGCACAGACACATAATGCCTCGACGGCGCGACCGAACACACAAATACGGGCACCAAGATGGGTAAAGGGCGAGGATGATTCGGACGAGGAAGAATCGCGCTCGGGCGTGGTGGGCAAGAGGAAGCGAAAAACCAATGCTGGGCGCGCAGCAGCAGTGACGGCAGCAGCGGTCGAGAGCGGAGCCTCTGGCTCTACTCCGTCGCAGATCCACCCCTCCTCAGCCTCCGAGACGGGACATTCACTCGAACCTTCTGGCGCTGCTGAATCCGCGCCGAACGAGTCGCATGACCAGTTTGACAGCACTCCTCAAGCGACCTCATCCAGCAATCCCCAGGCAACGCTGCCCAGGGCAGGCAAGAAACGCGGAGCCGGCAGTTACCTGGACGAGCTGCTCGCCTCTCGAGCTGCGAAGAAGAAAAAGAAGAAAAAGAAGGGCGTCACGGAATCCGAGCCAGGGTAATCCGCGACTGGCACAAAATGTATCATGCGACTCAAGAGCTCCTTCGTGATGATGTCTGCTTTGTACAGCCTTGGACACTTTCTTCTCATCTATATCGTTTCGACAACAACTTTCACCCCACACATGTGATCAGGCAGATATTTGGCTTGGTCCCATCGTATTGCACAGGGTCGGCGCTGGAAGGCCTCTAGAGATCTGCCCAAAGTATCCCCGTGAACTGATCGGAATTCCCAGGCAAGTCAGTCCTGGGGTGATAACCGACTCTATATCCACACCATTTTTATCACGCTCCATTCTCGGTGATCTCGATACTATCCAAGCTCCATGTCTCTACCCTGTTGGAATGTGCAGTGCTGATGAAAAAGCCTCCCCGGAAAATATACACCACAAGTGTCTCGCTAGAGCCGGACTACTTGCCAAAGTCACGGTCGAATGTCGATTTCGATCAATTACCATCCAATTTCCCTGTCGGTATGTACAACGTGAGAAGCGTCATGTAAACACATCGTTTTTTCGCCAATTGTGCGGGACCAGTGGTCCGTCCCAAGCTCCGATAAAGATTGACCCCCGTCCAGTAAAAGCAAAGGGCAAGATTTTCTTGTGTCATGTCAGTCGTTTCCGTTTCCGGTCGTCATCTCGGCCGTGACCAGGTCCTTCATCCTCATTTTCTTGCTCCGCTGTCTCAGCGGGGTTTAGCAACGAATGCAAAGTCGCCATACTTCCTCTCCGCGTGGCGGGGGCGGAATGAAGCTCAAAGTTCGGCCGTGGGAATTTGCTGCCTCCCAACGGCCAAGGTACGTTCTCGACTCCGAGACCTGCGGGTGGTGCCTCGGAGTTCGAGTGAAGTGGTGGTGTGGACTGGCTCGGCTGGTTCACCGCAGCGTTCCTCCTAGGACCATTAATCTCATATTGAGCCAATTGATCACGAATTTGTTGGTCGCCGGCAGCCAGAGGTGGCTGCTGCGGTGAAGACGGCTGCCATTGCACGGACGATTGTCCAGAAGCATAGGGGGATCCGTTCCCGCCGTTCCCGTTAGGAGGCGGCCAACCGTGTTCTCGAATATCGGCTGACGTGTGTCTCCTCGCCAAGTTCATCGGTGGAGGCGTCACCACCGAGGCCAAAGGATGTACACTGGCGGGCGGCTGTGGCGGGAGGGCAGGACGACTGAACCCGGGAGAGACATGGGGAATGCTGATGGACCCAAAGCGACGTGGCGAGGAAGAAGAAAACTGAGGTGGTATCGGCGGGACGGGAGGACGTAATCCTACATGCTGGGACTCGATCTGGACGGAGGATCTTCGGCTGTCTGGATAATTGAGTCCCCGAGGTGAGAGAGGTGGTTCTAGGGTGGAACCGCCCGGGTAGAACGACTGTCTGCCGTTTTGCAACGACTCCTGGGGCATTTCCAAAGCGCGTACATATTCAAGCTGTCGCGCAATTTCTTTTTGGATACTGGCGATATCCGTGTATAATCCTGATTCGGGGGAGGACATTGTCTGGACAGCGCCCGTCAGATTATGGAGATATTGATGGCATCGGACCAGTCCCTCGGTCAATGCTTGACACCTCGAGTTCACCAGTGCATAACTTTCTTCGGCCCGCTGTAGTCTTGATTGAACTTCGTAGAAGGCTTGTTCGAGGCTTGCAAGACGCTGGTCTGTGTCAGGCATAACATCAGCAGGCGTGCCTGGTTGAGAGACACCGGGTTTCGCATTTGAGAACGAGTCGCGGTGTATCAAAGTATGTCGGGAAGCGCGCCTTTTGATTTCTCGCAAGCCCATCAAATCGCCCTTTTTAAAGTTGCCGTTCCCGTGCTTGAACTCCCACAGAGCCGACTCGGGAGATCCGGTATGGAAGACATCGCTGACCTTGTGGAATCCGTACATGTTCAATTGTCGAACAAAGGAGGAGATGTTTGTGTGTTTAAAGTATTGGGCCAAAACTTTTGAAAATTCGTTCGAAGGGGACATGACAAAACTCTCATTGGTATTGGACCAGGAGATGAGATGTTGTATGGACTTGTCCTCCAACATACTGTATAGCTTGTGAATAAAAGCTGTCTGCACCACCTTGGGCCCCTGAGAGGCTCCGACAGCCCCTGCGACGGTACTGCTGTTGGTACTAAGAGAGACCTGCTCCCGGGCGCCATTTGAGATATTGTTGCCCTGTCCTTGGTCCACCTCGGGACTTCCACCTGCTCCCGGCCCTGGGGGTCCCATGTTCGGAGGAGCCGGAGAGGTCATGATCGAGTCCTCCTGAATCGACTTCGGCGAGGGGTGATTATTAGTGGCGCTTTGGGGCAGGATGGCCATTGATCGAGGTCTCTGTGAGGGTTCGATAGGAGAGCCGAAAGGATTTCTCAGAGCGGGTTGAAAAAGGGTACTCATGATGCTTCTTTAAGCACCAGTCTGCCGTGGCGTCGAGAGACCGAGTAGAAAAAGGCCGTGCGCGTCGACGTTGACGGAGGTCCTATTTTCAAGTCATGCAAGGCATCAATATCTTGCACCGAGGGTGGAGTGGTCCACACATTGGAGGGAGGTAGAGATGGCAGAAGGAGGTGGGAAGGCGCTGGGTCTCGTAGTGGTCGATTCTCTCCAGGTTGGCAGTCAAGTAGCCGGGCGCAGGTGGGTTTCGGGAGAACAGGGATGTCTCACAAAGAGTTGCCCAGTCGATAAACAGTTGTTGGCGTCACCTGGTTGGGATGTCGGATCGGAAATGTCTAGCTGTCAAAGGGTGGTGTCGAGGGTGAAGGAGGTGGACAACGTGTTGGAGGGGGAAAGTTTTTGAAAGTTGGAGATGGGTGGAAAGATGATCGCGGCTCTCGGGGACTGGACGATGCGGTTTTCTAGAAGGGATGCCCTGAAAAAGGGAGGAGGTTTAAAACCGCTCTTTAGGGGGTATCGCGGACTGCCGGCAGAAGAAAATGCGATCGCGGGGGGCGTGCAAGGGTTTTTTTGAGTTAAACGTCGCTAATGCGCATTTAGCTGTGAGGTGGGTGGACTCGGGTGAGGCGTGTGAGTGGGCGTTTGTGTGATTATATACGTAGAGTTCAGGGGGTCTTTATTGAACAGTTGATTTCCAAATGCTGAAATGGTTTCGCAGAGAGGGAGACAAGTCCCAAGGAGAGTGGAAACGTGGGAAGAAAAGAAGCGAGTTTGGAAATTAGTGAGATATGCTTTGGGGGATAATTGCGAATTCGCTTCTTAAGGGACCGGACGATCACGGCGAGGCGGGAGCGCCGGTTAACTGACAGCGCCCACAGGTTCAAGAGGATTTACCAAGAGATCGGAAATGGGTTGGCGAGCAATGGTGGAGGGTGATGGAGGAGGAGAAAAGGATTGCATGCAGAGCACGGGACAGTATCTGACGAGGGATGAATAATGTGGATTTGATGAGGGTTTCCATTTCCTTGATGGATACGGAGGGGCCGGATTTGTGTCAACTAATGCTTGCAGGTGACAAGGGGGTGAGATGGACGGGGATGTGAGAAGGACAATAACCGTAGCCACAATGGCGGCGACGGTAACGTCGGGGAGGAGGCGATAGGCGACTGAAGGATGGCAATGGGAAGGATGGCGCTTAAAGAGGGCAAAGGAAAAGGAGATGAAGAAGACGAGATGGAACCAGGTAAGTGTATGAAATGCCGCCATCAGATGATGTATATCCCGAGCATGTCTCTACTGTAGGTGTGTACCTCGTATGTAGGTAATGATCCTTGTTCCTCCTCCTCTTCCCCAGCCACATAAACCCAGTTGTCTAACGAATACGAGTTCGACTCGAATGTGGAGGATCGGGAGGACCGAGGCGGCTTGCAGAGGGAGGATCAGTTTGTCGAGCAGAGAAAAAAGAAGGGGGAAGCTCAGTGGGAACAGCTGTGAACCGGCAATTTCGTCAATCATCAATCATCAATCATCGACCAGGGTGACAAGCGCAGGCGCGAAAAATGCAAATGTAAAAAGAGCAAAGAATGAAAGATGAGCAGATGGCAGGGGGTGGTGGAACGTGCAGGGAACCGCAAATGGTGGCAGCTGGTTGGAGGGAAAGAAATGCACGTCTTGATAACTAACAAATTATTAAGGCCCATGTCCATGTCCATGCTCATTCCCGGATGAGAATCGGTATACCGACTTGTAGGTACAAGGGACAAGGAGCCCAGACAATGCCCAGGGTGACCCGGAGTTTACCGGATTAGTTAAAAGCAACGAGGGGGTGGCACCTCTAACGACCCTGGCATGCCTGGCCGTCCTCCAATAGCTAAATCAGCTCCAAGCCTCCAAGCCTCGTCCAGGGTTAGTGATGGCTAGTTAAGCCGCCTGGCTGCCGCTGTTGCAGACCATGATAAAAATGTTCTTAGGGGCAACAACCAGACAGACTTTCTTCACAACTCCTTCTCTCCAGGTCTTGGATATCACCAATCATCTCTGAATCCTTCACAACGGGTAAGAATCTGAAACCATACAAGGCACGGCAGCCTGCTTCTCGGCGGTCATGAATCTAGGACAAAGCAAAAGCCTGCATAAAGCGAGATCCACGAGCTTGGTCCCCTCCAGGTCTGGCATTGTTTGATTGACAGTCGCCGAACTTCTGACAGCGGACGCCGGCATCATTTGGCCCATTCTTTCTCCATTCACCGTCTGGGATTTGCAGTTTGGCCGGGGCCACCCATTGCCTCGCTTTGCCTCTGATCTCCAGCTATCTGCACGTCAACCACGAACTGGTATGAACTGGTGCGCGAATCCACTTCTCTTCCACCTTTGCCATCGTCAATATCACCTCCCACTCACCGTCTGACATGTGCCCGTTCCAACTGGTCTGTGGCTATATTCTCGGCTTGGTCCTATTGCCAATCCAACCATATCTTGTCGAATCTTGTACAACCATGACTCCTGAATCTCTCGCCTACGGTATGCATCAAATGTTTTTGAGAATTGGCTGGCGGTGAGCGAGCACCCTTTGATCCCCGGGTCTCTTCAAATTGCTGCTACCTGCTGTCGAGCCCATCTAGGACTGTTAGTCCAAACACCCTCAGCCCTTTTGATGGTTGTCATTCCCTATAAGTCAATGCTCATTTACACATATCGGTGGGATCTTGTTGTTATTGGAGATTCGGACATGGTTCCCTTAAGAGGATGGTGCTTGATGTACCTCTGGCCCGACCCGTCAGGCCAGAACTCTCACCGCCGTTTCGAGCATCAAGTCACGTAGGGGCTAGGGTGACTACGACGATCTGGCTGGGCTGGTGTATGGTGGCCTCTTCGCTGTTAGCCAGGTCTGAAGATCCCAGATGCCTTGCGAAGATGAGCTGGCCTGACGCAGTCCTAGTATGCTTACAGCAAGGTTCACGTAAGATGGACAGACAACATTGAGCTGTTGGGGCAACTCAATCGTGCTGTTCCACGCTTGGCTGCGGACATTCCTCGATTTCCCGATGATTCAAATGTCCAGCAGCCGTTACAAGACAATTTCAGCGTGTATATGGATTGACTGTTATCCTTAACGAGATGTCTACGCAAACACATGCTGCCCTCCGTCGGATGCTCACCATGTCTCTTATTTCAGCTGCTGATTTTGATCTTCGAACGTTGCAGACTGTTCTCAACTATGAAGAACTGGTGAAGACCTTCGTTGGAAAACGTGCCACCTTTGAGGCTGCATTGCAGTGAGCCGAACAAGAACTATACCTAAGACCATCCTTTCCAATCCACAAATACTATACTAAATTCAAAACATTACTGCGGCTAAGCCGGGGCTCCTTTAGGTAAGTTAACGAAGTGGAAGAGATATCTACTGGAAATATACTTTCCCGAAACAACGTTCTGGTCGGCGGCGTAACTATGCGGCAGCGCAAGGAGGAAATCAAAAACGAGCTCCGTATTATGGAGAAGTTAACCCACGTTCACATAACCACCGCGATGTTCTGGCTGCGAAGCGACAAAGCCCACAGTATCTTCATGAAGCCGGCCTGCGATATGGATCTCCGTTATTGACTGGAACACTGTATAAGTCAGGGTTATCCTCAAGTCGTCTTGATGCAAATGCTGCCGTGGCCTGGCTGCTTGATGCACGCGCGAGCCTTTGCACACCGGTTAAACAACAAACACAAAGACATCAAGCCTTCAAACATCTTGGTCAAGGATAGCCATATCTATTTGGCTGATTCCGGCATCCCAAAAGACGACGTTCCAGACGATCTGGAGGGAAACGCAAGCTTTTCTGTCTGGGGGTATCGGTTTACCGCGCTCCCGAAATTCGGCCAGACCATCCCCAGGCTCGCGGCACCAAATCTGACGTGTTCTCACTGGGGTGTGCGTTCGCGGAGATGCTGACTGTTCGCTGCCAGCGGTCACTGCAAGATTTCCAAGAATCACGAAAGGTCACAACTGAAGACGGCGAGACGATCGCCTTTCGGGCCAATTGGCCCCAGGTCCACGACTGGCTCGGCGACTTGCGTGGTCAAGGTGTGCACCCTGTGGTCGACATCCTGATTTACAACACCGCGAGCATGCTCTGTGACGACCCGGAATGGAGGGATTCGGTAGATCAAGGTATAACGCTTCACCACCATTTGTCTCAAGGACCAAGGGTCTCGAAGCTCACGGTTACGCTTTTGAATGTACAGGATATTGTAACAGATTCTGAACCCATCAGAACATGGTACAGGTTAAAAGAATGGAGAACTCAGCAGAATAGAGGCTTACTGTGTGGTCGATTTACACAACCTTCCCTCAACGCATCAGATCGAAACCCGTGAATCAGACGCTCGTCATCGCTACTCTTGACACCGAAGGCGCACACGATGTCTAAGAACGGGTGGAAGATCTCCAGCGAGCACATAAGCTTCTGAAAAGCTGCATAGGTGAAGCGAAGACGACCCCAAGAGTATTCTTGTGGTATGATGCTGTCAAATGTGAGTACGAGAACGTGTAGCGGACCTAGCAAAGTACAGATAGAAACGTGCGTTGCTGCTTGACTGCATTAGCATCCTGTATATATTCAGAAAGGTCTGAGATATTCTGAATCCGCTTCTTCAAGAGGCGTGAGGGTTTCGTCGGTTGATCTAGACTGACGGAGAGTGCCAGGGCATCGACAACGTTTGGCAAAAACAGTTTTCTCTTTGCGGTCTAGAGATATCCATGATCGTCCCATGAAATATCGCATAGCAAGCTGGAAACCATCATACCGATGCGAAATGGTTGCAAATGAATTCCCGCGAGCTTGTGGTGAGCTTTCGCGGGCATAGAGTGAGTTAAGGTTCTGTACCGAGTACAGACAACTTTTCCAACGGCTGGAGTGCTATGGCCACCTTCTGTAACCTAACAATCCAGCATTCTGGCCCAAAAGGCAGCTGGTGGGTTCTGCCACCAAGCGTAGAGAAGGTGCTTGCTCGCCTGGATATCTGGGAGTTCTCGGAAATGCAGGTCTTAGCGAATATGACTAAGCAGTGCCCCGCGTAAAATTCCCTCTCCGCACGATCGGCGGCATCATCAAAATAATTTTTGAAATCCCAGGTTTATGCCCAACTACTTTTGTCTGCGATCACATTCCAACCTCACCAATACACACCCTTCTCCCGGGCCTTCCGTGACACAGTACTACACAATGTCCAAAGCAGCGACTGCCCGCCGACATGCACCTCTCGAAGACGACATCACTGCCTCTGGGGGCAGACTGCGGACCAAATCAATCACTGGAAAGAGAAAATCGAGATCGGATGAAAACGCACAAGGAGATGGCTATATCGACTCTCGATCCTCACGGAAAATCTTGGCTATAGCTCAAGATCTTGTCGAGGAAGATGCAGCAGAAGGACGGGCAACCAGAGCAAGATTCACATCCCCGACAAATGGAGCATTCGGCTTCGATTCGAGGTTTGCGGTAGACGACCAAGACGAGAATGAAGGTGTGGAAGGAGACTCGCGGCTCGATGATGAAGAGGAATGGATACCAGAGGATGACGATGCGGCGGCCCCCGAGGATGACATGGACCCAGAAGAGATGGCTGTTTACAAAAGGTTTCTTCAAGATGGTGAAGAATTGGCCGACTTTGCCCCGTCAATTGCAAACCTCACCACCAGCGACGCACTTTCGACCGACGGCAGACATAGGGGCCAGCAACAGAGAGTCAGTGGGGGTGCGGAGGAAGAAGACGAAGAAGGCACAGGTCAAACGACAAATCTTGCAGACTTGATCCTGCAACGTATCGCGGAGAAGGAGGCATTCGAAGCATCCCGCTCCGCCGATCAACCACAGCTGCTCGTGGGCGGTGGCCCTATGGAAGATGCCGTGGAAATTCCCATGAAAGTCGTCGAGACATTTACCAAGGTCGGGCAGCTCCTGACCCGCTATAAGTCCGGACCTCTTCCCAAGCCGTTCAAAGTCCTCCCGACGCTGCCTCAGTGGCCAGAGCTCTTGTCCATCACAAGACCTGAGAATTGGACACCACACGCTGTCTACCGCGCGACCAAGATCTTCATCTCTGCCCCAGCGGCCACAGGCCAGCACTTTTGCGAAACTGTCCTGCTGGACCGCGTGAGGGAGGATATCCAAGAGACCAAGAAACTCAATGTCCATCTCTACAACGCCCTCAAAGCCGCCTTTTACCGGCCCTCGGCCTTCTTTAAGGGGTTTTTGTTCCCGCTGGTCCAATCGAGCTGCACGCTCCGCGAGGCGCACATCATCTCGTCGGTGCTGGCCAAGATCAAGATCCCCGTGCTCCATTCCGCCGCGGCCCTCCTGCGGCTCTGCGAGATCTCGGCGGAACAGACGGCAAACGTGAACAGCGAGGCCGCCGGCGCTGCCAACATCTTCATCCGCGTCTTGCTGGCGAAGAAATACGCGCTGCCGTACAAAGTCGTGGACGGCCTCGTGTTCCATTTCCTCCGCTTCCGCGCCTCCAAGGAGCAGGATCCGGACCACGAGGTCCTGGGTTCCAAAGAAGCCAAACTGCCCGTCCTGTGGCACCAGAGCCTCTTGATCTTTGCGCAGACATACCGGAACGAAATCACCGAGGATCAACGAGAAGCGCTCCTGGACCTGCTGTTGGTTCGAGGCCACAAAGATATTGGGCCTGAGGTCAGACGCGAGTTGTTGGCCGGGAGGAACCGATCGTCTGCGGATGGGCAAGGTGGTGGAGAGATGCAGGTCGACGCGCGAGAGAAGAGGGACGACGGCGACGACACTATGGACATGACGGGTTGATTGATGTGATGATCGTGAGCTCCTTCCAAACGCACGATGGATAAGCACAGTGCAGGCTTTTTTTTTTACACGAGATACGATACGAGCCATAGAACGAAAGAATGGATCTCGCCTCACCATCCAGGGGCGAGTTCTCGATCCGTATGCCCCTCTACTCGTTGGGCTGACCATGCCCGTTGAGATCGATGCGCACGATCATGCGATGGATCGCATTGGTCTCTGGAGATCTGGAGACCCATGTATCGTGGTTACAAGCGTTGTACTCGAGCGTGACGGCGTAGATAAATATGATGCATTGGTACTCACTACTCCGAGGAGCTCTATTCATAACATGCATAGCTATGTGTACATGGTATCGTCTCTAAGAGAGCATCGCCTGGGCGTAACACCCTATCTTACATCTACACCAATACTTTGGTTCCTTCCAATCCTGCCAGAATAATGCACATATACTGACGTAGCTACCAAGGGGCATTGAGTAGCCCTGAGTGCGTCGCTTGCCATGGATTGTATCTTCTGGAGCGATGGGTTCGAGTCAGAGCGGGCCCCTCATGTGGCTCGTTAGCTCGTAATAAACTGGGATTGGCCCAGCGAGAATGATCGGGATGTCATGATGACACGCCCAGTCTGCCTCGATATGCCGATTGCCCTGGAAGACACCTTTATGCCGAGGTGCGGGTCCATCACTGGAGGCAGTAGGTTTGACCTTACCATGATAGACGTGAACCCTTGCGGATCTTTCTGGCAACACGCTCAAAGACGGATCGGAATCGGCTCGTGCTGGGCAAGGCTGAGATGTGCTCCATACACTCAAATGAAGATGCATCGGCTTGGTACATGGTTATACCATCATTTGAAGACCATACCAACCACGACACGTGTGCTAGCTCAAGATCTTGGTTTCAACCGTGCGTCTCATGTCTTTTGGATGAAAATTCGACAGAAAGTTCTGTGCAAAGTAGATGACAGAAAAGTCGTCACCATATTGCCCAATGACCTGCATGCCGACAGCCACTTCTGGATCCCAAGGATGATCAGGGTGTGCTGGCGCCGGGACTGATATCGCAGGAAGACCCGCTAGACTTGCTGGCACCGTGAAAATGTCGTTCATGTATCGTTCCACCGGTCTCGAAGACTTCAAGCTTTCGATGTAAGGTGGGGGACTCGGCGCAGTAGGCACAATAATCATGTCCACGCCGTGAGGATTTGCTTCGGTGCCGTTCCGGAGGGGATTTGGCATTCTGAAAACTGCGTCAAAATCCTGTTGCACCAAGCGGCGGATCTTCTGGGCCTGGATGAAATAGTTGTCCATTGCTCCAGCGCTCAAGGAATAAGTTCCCAACAGAATTCGTCTTCGAACCTCGGGCCCGAAATTATCATATCTGTAAGTAGAATAAAGCGGGTTGTCATCTCCACCTCCATCTGCGGGCGCAGTGCGCTTTCGACCATATCGGACACCGTCATATTTCGCGAGGTTGGAAGACGCTTCAGCTGGAGCCAGAATGTAGTAAGCTGAAAGTGCATGCTTTGTAGATGGGAGGGAAATGGGTACAATCTCAAACTTGTACACGTGTTGTAGATGGCTCAATGTTGCCATCCATGCCCAACGGACAAGGGGATGCATCTCCTCGATGTTGTACTCAAGTGGAACTCCTATTCTTCGAGTGTGGTGTTTTTGAGACGCCGTGACGGCAAGGTTTCTTCGTCTGGAAGCCAGAGGCGCCAGACCTTGTGCTTCTAGCAAGCGCTTTGAAAAGGGAACTCTGGTGACGAACAGCTTGGACGTAAGAATAACCCGTCTTCGCTTGTGCTTGGAAGCTCTGACTCGCTCTCGAGATGACTGATCGAGGCACGTGGGATCCGAGACGTCTGGCCTCTGCAGCATATCTGTACCTGTAAGTATGAGGAAGCCAATTTGCAGAGATCAACTAACCGAATGTCAATCGTATGTCAACGACGGATTTGGCGAGAATGCCCACAGTATCCAAGGAGTTTGCATAGGGGATTACCCCTGTGCGGGATATCATCCCGTAGGACGGTTTGAATCCGACAAGGCTCATATAGGCTGCAGGGAGTCTGACGGAACCTCCAGTATCGGTCCCAATTGCAATATGAGCCAGATTCTTGGCCACAGCAAGTGCACTTCCACCAGAGCTTCCACCAACCGACAGATGGTCGGATTTTACCGAGCCGCCATTTACCACGGGGCCGTATGCCGAATGCGTAGAGTGCGAACCCATCCCAAACTCGTCCATATTAGTCTTTGCAACCAGAACCATTCCCGCCTTTTCAAGTAACTTTGTGACGGTAGCATCTTCCGGGCCACAGAACCCTTTGAGAACTCTGGAGGCACATGTTGTAGGTAGAGTTGCGGTGACAATGTTATCTTTGATCGCTACCGTGAAGCCATGGTTCGCAGATTTCAGCCTGTCTACCCGCTCATTAGTTCTCTGCTTGTCCCCCTCGTCGGATCTATCTCACAGTAGTTCCGCCAAGACTTTGTACTCTTGTGCAGACTATCCAGTCGCGACGCTTGCTTGAAGATGGCATCCTGCAGCTGGATTTGATCGTGGAGTGAAATATAAGGATTTCCGTAATGCGTCGAG